TATTGTATGGCAAGTTATTAAATATTCTGATGGATGAAAAATGCACACTCTTTTGAATGGAAGGTAATCTCACGAAGGAAACATGTAGTGTATTATGCCACCTAGTACTTAATTTGTGTATGCCATTATTCACCTGATACATATCAGGATTTTTGAGTACAAACAAGACTATGGAATATATATATAAACGGGACAGTAAGTATGCCCATTGTCTTAAAGCATGGATTTTCATTTATTTTAATTCTCCATTTCTTCACTCATTTGTCAATCTTATTGATGGCTAGGAGTTTCATTGAGACCATCACTAGATATTCCTGTATGGACAAGATTGTTTACAATCCCAGAGTTTCCAGGAGGCAGAGATGGTATTGTCTTTGAAAGGAAGAAATTATTTTAGGAGACAGCATGTACATATTGTTAATAGTAGTCTGCTTCCATTGTCAGTAGAGAATATTTTTGTGATGTTATTCATTTATTCATTCATTTCCTTTATTTTCCATATATCTATACAGGTAACAAACCTAGGATGTGGAAATGGTCCCTTTGAAAGTAGATATATCAAAATACATATACAAAATTACATGAGTCACACAATCAAAATCACTTACATTAATCAGTTAACATAAATAATAATATAAAGTAAAAAATTCATAAGATTTTAATTAATAAACATAATTTAAAAACAACTTACTATAAAACTTGAATTAATACAATTTTATTTAAATTACCTATATTCAATTCAATTCAGTTTATTTCAAATTCAAAAATAGATCCAGATACAGGATGGGAAACAACCATTGGATGTAGAATGAGTCATATTAACTGAATTAAATACATTTCAAATTTACACACTTATGACCAATTATGTTGATAATATTCATTCATGGAATGGAAAGAATGATGATATAAAATCTTCTTCAATGCAGATTTAAAACTTCTGTCATCAGTAGCCAACATTTTCATTGTTTGAGGAAGATAATTAAAAACTTTTAATACCAGATATGTACACACCTTTATTGTATTTTGTTAGGTTAACTGCAGGTAAATATAAATTATTGAGTGCTCTAGTTTTATATTTGTGAATCTTGTTGTTAAAATTAAACAAATGTTTATTATTAATTGTGTATAAAAATAATGAATATATGCACTGAGAGCAGAATGTCATTATTTCCAAATTCTTAAAAATGTCCCTACAAGACTTTTGGTCTAGAATTTGTTATAATTATAACAGCTTTCTCTTGCAATATAAAACTTTGTTAACACAAGAAGAGCCACCCCAAGAAATTATACCATAACTTATGATAGAATGTATATGAACAAAATAAATTAGCATTAATATATCTAAAGGGACAGTATATTTTATATTTCTCAATGCATAACATGCAATGGAAATTTTATTAATGACATAATCAATATGCTGTTTCCACGAAAGAGTATCATCGATAACTAATCCCAGAAATTTTGTCTCAGTCACATTTGTTAAATTTATCTGATCATAGTTGAATTGAGTAGTGATATTATAATAATTCATAGCTCGAAACTCAACATATTTAGTTTTATTAAAATTCAAGGTAAGCAAATTAGCATTAAACCATGTATTTATATCTTTGAAAGTTTGATTAAGATTTATTTCAAAGTTTAACTTATTAGTGACAGTTACTATAATACTGGTGTCACCTGCAAATAATACCATATGTATTATGTACAAGTACATATATGGAATTGAACTTCTCTTCACTGAGTTCTATTTAAAGTTTTTAAAAACTGGACATAAAAGTTTCATTCAGAGTCAGGAAGGACACCAAACTCTGCATTTGTTGAACTGGTAAAGGCAAAGTTTTCCCTATGCTTAACTAATTAAGCACTATGCCATGAAGACATTTGGGAAGCAGACGTATAGACCCACGTTTTTCCCTTTACCTCGGCACTAGTTGGAGGTGAGTGGTCAGTTTCATGTCCTGGCTGCTTTAACCCCGAGGAAAGAACCCTTAGTACCCATTGGATAGGGGGCTGGACAATATGGAGAAATGAAAATTCTTGTCCCCACCGGGACTTGAAGTCCTACCCCTTTTTTTGTCCAGCCCATAGCCAGTTGCTATACCGACTGCGCTATCCTGTCTCTGTTGAATTTTGGCCAATGTCGCTATTGTAGTGTATTCTGACATGACTGTTGAAAACTGGAATAGTGGAATAAAAAGAAGCAGCTGTTGCTGGGCAGCAGCACAGTGAACATGTTTCCACAGTGAAGAATCAACACGTAACAATCAGACTGCAGGAAGCGGTGTTTTCTATGCTGTCATTGGCAAGACTATATAACTAGAACCAGCCCATGTGGAGGCTGACTCAATTGTAAATAAGTGTACATAGTGACAATGGACTAATACTATCGACTATGACTGACAAATGACAGACCTGACCTCTCGTCAGAGGGGGCGCCCAACATGGACAGGACAGTAACCTTCATTTAAAATGTAACATCTGGTCATGAGCCCCAGCCGGGGCTCGACACCAAGACAGACAGATAGACTGACTGACAGTTGCAATATGACTTTGACTTTGAATTTGTGGAGGCTGCAGGAATCACAACCAGATTTTACTGTCTCAGATTTGAGACTCCCCAAACCTGGAGGGCCAGGTCCCTGTATTTATATCCCCTGGGAACAGTGTGGCCTGGTTATAACCCCAGGCACTGGG